AACTCAAAGTTAAGCTGTTCACATTCAATAATAAGTGCATCAGAACGAGATTTCAATCAATAGATGATAGAAGTTCAAATGTACAAATAAATATTAACGTAGAAAATACTTCTTGTTTTGAATATAACATACGTGTGGCTATGAGTTGATCGTGCATTCACAATAGACGATTCTTGCTCTAGTCATTCATTTTTTTAGTAAATCAACAAAATCTTCAAGATCTAAAAGTTTCTTTTGTTCATTTGTGTGCGACATCTTTTGTTTATTCCTACAATTTGTATATACATTCATGCAATAGGATAATAAACTAATATCCTTAGCCATGAAGATACAAGCAAAATTTTTTTCTTTTTAATTGACAATCGCTGTCGATGAGTATAAGGTCACTCAGGCCAAGTTATGCTACCTTATTTGGTAAATCGAAAGAGCATATTTGTTTATTTTTTTTTAGATTTCAGGAATCATTAACAATGACTGAAACATCACTAGATAGTATACCAAGCATTTTCCAAGATCTTCGTACATCATTTAATTCTGGTAAAACAAAATCCATTGCATGGCGCAAAAAACAACTCGAACAATTGTATAAAATGTGTGATGAACAAAAAGAAATGTTTGCTTCAGCAGCATATGCTGATTTTCATCGACCACATGCTGAAACAATTTTATATGATTGTGCTGTTGTAAGTTTTTTCTTTATATTATAATGTATATACATCTTTTATATTTATTTTTATAGCTTCGTAATGAATGTATGGATACACTTAATCATATCGATGAATGGGCACGTGATGAATATCGTTCAGATTCATTAGCATTTGCTACAATGGATAAATGTGTTCATCCTGAACCATATGGTATTTGTTTAATTATTGGTGCATGGAATTATCCATTTTTAATATCATTAACACCATTAATTGGTGCATTAGCTGCTGGTAATTGTGCTATTATTAAACCATCTGAATTAGCACCAAATTCAGCTGAGTTTATTGCAAAAATGGTTGAACATTATCTTGATACATCTTGTATTCGTGTTGTACTCGGTGCTGTTGATCAAACTCAAGCATTACTTAAAGGTGATATTAATCATGTATTTTATACTGGTTCAACAATGGTTGGTAAAATTGTAATGAAAGCAGCTGCTGAAAAAATGATACCAGTAGTACTTGAATGTGGTGGTAAATGTCCAGTTTATGTTGCTGATGATGCTAATATAGCAATTACTGCTAAACGTATTGCATGGGGTAAAACTCTTAATTGTGGACAAACATGGTAAAGTATTTTTCTAATCAAAAAAAAAGAAACAAAATGTTAAGAGTTTTCTATTTTAGTTTAGCACCTGATTATGTTTTATGTTCAAAAACAATGGAAACTCGTCTTATACCAGAAATAGTCAAAGCTTGGCAATCATTTTATACTGATAATTCAATTAATTCAGATTCGTATTGTCATATTATTAATGAACGACATTTTGAACGTGTAAAAAAATTAATTGATACAACAAAAGTTGTTTATGGTGGACAAACAGATGCTAAACAAAATTATATTGCACCAACGATTATGTATAAAGAAAAAAAATTGTTTTTTTTTGTATTCATATCTATCATATTGTTGTTGTTGTTTTTATCTCTCTTTTATTAGGACAAATGTAACTGGAACCGATAAAGTTATGCAAGAAGAAATCTTTGGACCACTTCTTCCAATAATAACAGTTAATAATGAACTCGAAGCTATTGAATTTATTAATAGTCGACCAAAACCATTAGCTCTTTATGTATTTTCATCAAATAAAAATTTAATTCAAACAATTATTAATTCAACAAGTTCTGGTTCAACTTGTGTTAATGATGTTATCTTTCAAATAGCTCCACCATGTTTACCATTTGGTGGTGTTGGTGAAAGTGGTCTTGGAAATTATCATGGCAAATATTCATTTGATACATTTAGTCATATGCGTTCAATTGCTTATATACCTACATGGGCAGAATTTCTCATTTCGAACCGTAATCCACCTTATAATCAGAAAAAAACAGCTCGTTTAGAAAAACTTCTAAAAGTTTATCGAAATTGGATGCCATTACCTCGACTTGGTTTCTGGTTTTGGGCATTTGTTGCTTTGACTACAGTAATAACAACGCGTATTATTGTTCGTGGTATTATGGACGATAAATGGGAATTTTAATTTACTTTTTTGTTTTTTTTCTCATAAATATTCTTTTTCTCTCATTTTGCCTTTATTCTGTTGGCATGATTAATATAGCTTAGAAAAGATCTGATTCATGTTCCTTTCATAGTTCTTTTTTTTTATACATGTTTTTAACTTAAAGTTTTATGATAAATAAAATAAACATGTTTGAAATTGATTTCAGCTTATTTGTAATAAATACAATATTGGAATCTCTAATTTCAAAAATGAAAATTTTTATATTACAAAAAAATCTTTAAGATGTAAATCAATTTAGATCTATCAAGTTTTTTCAATCAATTATAAACAATACATGAAGAAATTATTATACATAGTTTTTCTTGATAAAGTTCATTTTTTTTTCTGTTTCTCTTCCAAAGTAAAACATATAATATCTTTGTAATCTCGAATGACAATGTACATAATACTTACCTTTAACTTTTTCACTTAGTGGTTGGTTTTCTTTATTGAGAATTTTATACAAGTAAATGTTTTATCACTGTTTATTATTTGTGCTTTGTTTAGAAATATGATTTATTATTATTAACGAACTAAAAGATTGAAAGGAGAAAAGCAATAACTTGTTTGATTTCTATTAATGCATAAAAATGAAATAAGCCATTTTAATGGAATAATAACAAATGGACATATTAACAATTTTTACAGAGGAATGTATTTATGCTTAAACTATTAATTCGAAAGATATTGAAAAACTATTACTGATTTTCAGTCAACATTGTTAAGCTTATCTAATGTATATCTTTAACTATTTTTATCAAATAGATCTATCATATTTTTCATAAGAGAGTAGCATGAAATAATTTAGAAATTTAACCAAGATAAGTAAAATTCGATGCTCCATTAGCTCCTTTTTTTTATTTACAAATGAATCCCCGCATGCAAATTCACACAAAAAAGAGAGAAAGGGATATAGTTGGAATAGCTTAAAAATACCTCTGATATACAGTCTTAGGTATTTCCGAAGATCGTTTTCAGTCGAACAGGAGAAAGTTTGATGGGAGTACGTATCTTCTTATTTTTAATAAACTATCTATGATAAAAATTTCTGTTTAATCGAGTGAACTAAGTTTCAAATAAAATGTTAGTCAACGTTCTGCACACTACTAGTTTATTACATTCCACCAAACTCCTATATTATAATTCAGAAAACTCTATACCTAGCATCGAATCAAGAGATTTTGAAAATATAGGATTGTTTCCTATTGATGTTGATGAAATTTTTGATTTACAAGACTCTGTTACCTAATATTTTTCTTCTAGAGTAGTATTCAGAAGACTTGACAAATCTTTTATTAGACATCAACGAATATAAGTAAGTGTATTGTCTATAACTTCCAGTAAGACAAAAAAATACAGTGATTCTGAAGGTATATTTGATCCACAGAGGCAACGTACAGTTGCCTATTAATTGTTAATGTGTTTAAAAGCGAAATCATACGAGATATCCGCTACAATTTATTGTGTATTCCATTAGTTATGTTGTTGAACAACCGTTTAACGTCACATTCATAGTCAATATTAACAATTTGACCTGAAGTTAGATATTGATCTATAAGCAATTAAAAAACATCTGAAGACTTTTTTTTTGTAACTCGTACAATTCATTTGCTCGACTAAAACAAAGAATAAAATATTTTGGTTATTGTCGTTGGAGAGTCTGCGTATGTATTTGTATTAACAGCAGATAACAGGTGCGTTTTTTATGAACACTGTCAATATGAGTAATAAAGCAACAGTGTTATTTTTTTGATAAACTATATGTGACATTTATCTTATTCTGAGTTTCTGTCAAAATGTGTTATTTGTTTGACTTTCTCATATCGATATGCGGTTTTTAAAAGAAAAATAAATATTTATCCATTTTCAAAAAAGAGATCTTATCTACATAAGAAAACGGAAAATGATGACTGATCATTTCCTAACTAGCCTGTGCACATATATAGGACAATCATATAAATTTGAAAGAGTGAAGATTTATTTAAAAAGTACTAATTTATTTTCGAGATCCAACAGCATCTATAGTGTCAATCATTATTGTTAACATTTTATAAGTTTAGTAGTTTTTATATTTAATTAGAACATATATATGGAAATATTCGAACTTTTCTTTAGTTATAAACACCACATAAATAGACGTGTATGAGACAAATATTCATTACTAACTGTGTCAGAGTAAGAAAATAAAGAACTTTAGTTAATCTAGGTATTAGAATATAATTGCAAGGAAAGCAGCTTTTCATTAGATTCAATTGATTTGAAACGTCCAAAATATTGCGTCTTTCAAGAATAACAATTGCATTCATACTAACCCAATCATAGAACGATTTTTCTTATAGTTTTTTTAGTTCATTATAATACATATAGATTTAAAAAGAAAAAAAAACTTGTTAGCACTTTCTAATGCGCCACCTACTGCTGTGTGAGGTACGTTTTTTTTTAGGAATATGTAATATTAAGAGACCCATCAAATTTCGTATATTGATAACAAAGATAACACATGTTGGTAAAAATTAATGTCTTCATACGTTTAGAATACAAAAAATAACAAGAATAACTAATAGTAGCTTGTGCAGAGTTTTTCTGTTGTCCTTATTTCTCTGTTCGATTTCATCACAATGGCTTGCCATCGATGATTTTTCATTGAGAACATGGAATGAAGAAACTGGAGATCGTTCACGTACGTTAGCAACATTTCAAGTAACCAACTATCCATCGAAATATGTTCAATCATTGAATAATCGTATTGACACTTATACATACGTACGATCGTGAGAATAAGAATATCTATTTTATTATGGAACAAATATTATATGGTATATCTAAATTTTTTAAATATAATTTAATATTAAATCAGATTGAACAAACTGAACAAGTTCAACAATTCATGATTGATCAAATAAAGTATAATGATATAAGTAAAAAATTATACGCAATTATACATAACAATAGTAATGCACAATATCTAGTCGAAATTAATACACAAACCTTACAAGTAAAAAGAGAAATAGCTCAATTCATAGACATTGGTTCATCTATGTCTGGAAGTTATTATGATAACAAAAATCAATTGTTTACTTATCATGCATATAATTTTAAGAAAGATCATACAGTTTTAATTACATTAGATTTATCAGATCGTGCAAGTTGTTGTCAGGACAAAAAATTTTGATTATAATATTTGTGGCTTTGGTTATATTAAATCCGTTGGTTTAATTGCATTATGGCAATATAGTATAATTACACCCATGATATTCATAAAAGTAAATGAACGAAGTAGTAAACAAATACAAAATGTAACAATAACACCAAAATGGTGTAAGAATTGCTGAAGGATATAAACCATTTTCAACAGATTTAGAAAATAGACAATTTTACGTTTTATCTTGGACCGATAATTTATTAGCAACATATATTTCAAAAATTAATTTTGATACACTGCATGTGAATATAAGAACAACATGTGTACATGAATGGATTTAGACAGAACCCACTCGAAAGATTAAAGATTGGAGAGGTAAGGACGATTGGAAAGTTATAAGAAGGTATGTTCGAAAAAATTTCGTAGACATAGTGTGAAATACAAAAAAAATTCGCACGTTTTGTCGAAAAGAATTGACAATTTTCGATTATTGTGCGTATGCACCCTTCGCACTCACATTCTGTTATTCTATCTTTGCTTCCTGTTCTGGCATTCAACCGCTCTTTTGTCGATATTGTTTATGAATTCTCGCACGTTTTTAATTCCTTCATTTGTCTCTGTGTTAAAAAAGATGAAAATATAAATAGAGTCGAAGAATAATGAAAATAAAGAAGGGAAATTCGAGGTACGACACAGTATTATACAATCAAAACTATATAGACAAGCAGTAGTCATTTCAAATGAAGATAATGACAACAAAGAGCGACAACTGAAGGTAAGTAGTCAAAAATGACAATGAGTTCGTCCATGCCTGTGTGTTCGATTGACATATTTGAATTTGAGTTAGTAGGTCATGATTTAATTGAGAATGGAGTGAATGAAACCCATCTTTTTGGCCAATTTAGATGCACACGACGTTACCCACCAATATCAGAGAAATAATGTTGTTCGAAGTTCGTTCGAGAAAATCAAAGAATTTCAAAAGTGAATGAGTTCTTTAACTGTCCAGCAGTAACAAAAATCAACTGAGATTTGCGACCTTCTATTTCGATCACTGTAGAAAAAAAAGTCTCGTCACCATGATTTCTTGATTATACTTGCATGTTCTTTGAATATTATTCGTCTTTTAACATTTAATTTTCAAAATTTATGTGGGAGTTTTCAAAAAACTACAAGTGATTCATTACCATGATAAATTAAAAAAATACAGTTTAACGAATTTTTGTTGTTCTATTTCGATGACTGTCGTTGACTGATACTGTTCTGTTGGTGAAGATTAGAACTGTTTGTTGTTGATGTTCGAACTCTTCACATTTAAATATTTCAAAAGAAATCAATCAGAAAAGGTTTGTCGAATTGAAGCAATTTCTTTTTCCTTATTTTTAGTTTTATCATAGTATTTTCATATGATTTGAGTTTTTTTATTTTTATACTAATAATAAAAACTGGTTCATGTTTAATTTGTTATCAATGTGATGAAATTGTTGTAACAGCTATGAATTTAACAACACCATCGGGTTGTATCAAAATCGATGTCAACAAAACGTATTGTACAATAGGAATTATTTTTAAACATTATGGTAAAGGATACATAAATATTGCATCAGAAATATACCATCGAGCATATGGATACAATGAAGATTTTGTTCTACTTGGCTTAACAATAAAAGCAGTGGGTCATATGAATATGGTTTTACTTATTCATTGTTTAACAGACGACTGTAATGAGCTAAAACTTAGTAAACTTCAATTATTATTGAATTCAACTACAATAGAACATAATACAGACATAATTTTACCATTATTATACATGTCAACGCCTGAGATTCCATTAACATGTTCAAGATATACAAATTTTACAAATCCTAATGCATGCTATTCACAAAAACAATCTTGCATTTTATGTGTCGCATGTTTCACATCTATTAATGGAATAACAAATTCTATGTGTTCCGACTATTTCAACAATGCTGAAATGATTTCTAATCTTCTTGATGAACGAGCATATATATTAAAAACAAGAAAAACAAGTAATCATAATTTTGTAGCACACTGTAACATTCGAAAATGTAATAGAATAGCCTTTGCTATGTATCCTGAAAGCTTCGCATAAGCTTTTTTTTAGGCTTGCAAACTTTTTTTTTTGATCTAACTTATTTTATTCTTGCTGTTCTATTAGCACTTCACATGTAAATAAAATATAGAAAGCTGAAGAGAATCTGTTTGACTTGTCAACTTTTATAAAAATTGTTCAGCCAGATCTATAATTGGATTTTCTTTATATTGTTCTTAAGCCAGTGAAAAGTTATGAACAATTTCAAAAGTTAACCACATCTTTCTGAAATTCCTATCAAGATATATGAGATGATCTTATAAACTACTCTCGAGTCACTAAATATTTGATCAATCACAGGAAATCTGTTTAATAGGGGGTGTGAGTGTGAGTGTAGTTGTCCTGTATACCATACATACATCCAACACCCACACTCCATGTACGCATCTAATAACAGGCCAGCACTCTTGCACGATAGTCGTGCGTCTTCTTTAAAAGATAGCCAGATAAGTGTTCATTTTTTTCAGATATATCCATCAGTTGATGCTTTTTGTCTTGTGTAAGACCACGATGTCTTCATTATGAGGACCTTTCTTTTTTTTTTACAAAACCTCATGTAAAATCAAGAATTCAATATTTTTTCAATTGATTTGCATCAAAAATCATAAATCTATCGACTCTATAACATATTGAAATCGAATAAAATCGGAGAATCTTGATTGAGCACATATGAACTGACTCTTTGCAGATTTTACTCGTCTGAACTCCTGTACAAATGAACTTTTTGAAGGAATAGTCTGCATTAGACTGACTTGGACCTTTTATCAGTCTCCTGATTAGTTTGTTGTGGACAAATTTATTAAAAAAAGGGTGCTAGCTATGACACGGTATTGTTGCTGCTCTGAAATTTTTTCTTTCTATGCCGTTTGAAAAGATTAATTCCCTCATGCATGTCAACACAGACTCTTATCAATAGCAAATTTTTGCACACGATGATTCCTACTATCCACTACATAGAGGTTTCCGTCAAAATCAAATAATAAGCCAGTGGGATAATTAAGTTGATCGGATTGGGAACCTGGCTCATGACCACCGGCGATGAGACTACCAGATTTAGATCCACGTGGCCATCGCATTATTCGATTATTCTCGGAATCCGCCACATAAACCGTACCCAATTGATCAACAACAACACCCATTGGGGATGCTAATTCATCGTCACCATCACCGTATAATGCACCAGCAGCAATTTCCATTCGCGTTGATCTATCATCAACTTTTGTCACTATAGAACTACCTGTCTCAGTCACAAAGACAGATCGATTTCGATCAACAAACAGGAAGGATGGCTGACTCAGTTCTGAAATGATGCCTTGTTCAACCGCTTCACCCATACGCCATTTCCTCACTTCACCTTTCCTGAAGTCAGAGACATAAAGTGATCCTTGATCATCTTGTGTTATGCCAAAAGCAGAAATATCATCAATAAGTGTTTGCCCACTTAGAGCTTCTCGAAACCATCGCTGAACACGCTGATTTTTATAATCACTAATATATATTGTTCCATCTTTATCCACAACAACGTCTGATGGATTAGACAATTGATCTTCACGATCTCCAGCTTCTTTTCCACCTGCGATTACTTGACCTTTCGAAACACCGCGTTCCCATTTGATCACACGATGATTAGCAGAATCTGCTACATAAACAGTTTGATTATCATCGATAAAGAATCCGTAAGGAAAATTCAACTGATTAAGTTCAGATCCTTGACCATGGCCGCCAGCCACAGTGGTAGCATTTTGTGCCCATTTTGCCCTTGCACAAATGCCATCATCAGGTCTTGTTGTCTTAGAATTGACTTGAACTAACAATGAACTAAATTAATAATCGAACACATAAAACAAAACAACAACCTAACCTGTCAAGCTAAAATGAAAAATCGTTCAATGTACGAAGAGTTGAAAAAAAATAATATTTCGAATACCTGCAAAGAACGAATATAAAACAACCGATTGATATTGTTATCATAGCTTGCATTCGAATGCTCTAGTCTCATGATGGCGTTTTCAGCTGTATTATACAAAGATTAACAAACGCATGATATAATCTTTCGGTAATTGGAAACTTGATATTATTCCTATGCATTCTAACATACGTAATACTATTCTTTGAAAAATTGAATTTCGAAAAACAAGAGAGAACGAAGGGTAGGTGATGTGAAGTGTAGGTGGGAGCGGGAGTGTGGATGTGAGTGGGGGTGGGTGTGATTGTGGGTGTGGATGTGAGTGGGTGTGGGTGCGATTGTGGGTGTGGGTGTGATTGTGGGTGTGGATGTAAGTGGGTGTGACTGTGGAGGTGAATATGAATGGGTGTGGATATTCTTGTTTTCGCTCATAAACTCACACTCACAAGCATTTCATGAAAATACCCTTTACACTTACCTTTCTAAGGACATACAACATGGACAAATCTCGGTTAGGGTGTGGGTGTGAATTGGTATGGGTGTGAGTGTGGGTGGGTGTGAAGGACTATGGGTGTGGGTGTGAATGGGTATGGATGTGGGTGGGTGTGAATATGGGTGAGTGTGGATGTGGGTGGTTGTGAGTGTGGTTGTTTGATAAAGACTGTTCCCAGACGCACATCGATACCGACACCCTCAGCCACGCACCCTCTCACCCCACACCTACAGCCACATTTCACGCCCTCGCCCACGCCCACCCTCACCCACACACCTGCACCAAATCCACACGAGCATCCACATCCACACTCAATGTTCTACGATTTTGCGATTTATCAACATTCGCACATACCTTCATCCTCAAGACGTGCTCGATTTGTTTCATAATAAACCATTTTGATACGTCTCGTATTATATCTCTGCCTTTTTTCGTTTTTTTCCTCTTGTAGCTTGTTGTACTTTTTTCTTTTCTTCTAATTTTGTTTTACATATGCAGTGTTCGTCTTATCGTTTTGTTTTTTTCTCTGCATTTATTATATCTTGATCTCCTTGTTATCATAATAAAACATAATAAATTACGCACACTAAAAAGAAAGAAACAGAAAAGAGATTACACAAAAATTTGCTTCATCTAAACACACGCATTATGACACATATTATTAATAAAATTAGAACTCAAAAAGTTCGTTTTCCAGGTATTGAAGCTCAAATACAAACTGTTGCTCTTGATGGCACCGAATACTTATTTCTAGAGGATGTTCAACGACAATTTTCTACGGTGTGTGTATTATGTATCGAAGATATACAATTAGGTTTTATCCGTAACGAACAAGGTGAAAATTTGATGCCGTTGCGCATTAAGGCGTGCGCTGATCAAATCATTGAAGCACGAGAATCTATCAATCAGTCTAATGATACTTTAGTTGCCGTTGTGAAATATCTCGATCCAAAACTTGATATTCTTATTAATAATGTTCAAGCAATATCAGAGCAGATAAAGAATCTGATGACGGCAATGTATGAACTACATGAATATACCACACCACGCTATTTTTTTGTTTTACCAGGAAAGCACTGCGATATGAAATTGATGAACAAAATGCACAGCTGGTTTCATCTTCAATACAAGCTCTACTTTCTATGTGAATGTTCCTATGACCCACGCAACATGCATGTCGCTCCACATGATGGTTATCCCATCGTCAAACCAAGAGAGTTCGTTGTGAAGTATGGCCCTTACTTACGAACCACACTAAATATTGTTAAACTTTTGCTAACAGCCCAGGACTTTGCTGTTTCACGCTTAGGAAGTATCTCACTAGGTCTGAATGATATTCTACCTCCAGCTGAATACTGCAGAAGTTTGATGGAACATTTGGAAACAGTTGATAACGTAATCGATAAATATCATAGTACACTAACCAGTACTGGTCCACCCGTGCTTGAACGCGAGAAGTCACGAGAAGCTCCGTTTAAGGGTGCGGAACTTCGCGAAGTTGAAACATATTTGAATCTTGTTGACGATAAACGGAGTTTGGGCAATTTATACCGCATCGTTACTACTGATGGCCATGTACGTTGGGTATGCCACGAGCATTACGACGAAATTAGCTTTAATAACGAAATTCGTAAATACATCAGTCAATTCGAGGCCATGGGAGGTAAATTTGATAAGAATACCAAAGAAGCAGTCATAACTAAAGTGAATGTGACAGACAAAAACATCAAAATGCTGTGTGAAGCTCTAACAAAAGGTTTTAACATTGTGAAGTTGGTATTTCATGATTGCGGCTTTTACAAGAAGGATCTTGACACACTGCTAGATGTTATTATTAATCGTTCTTCAATCCGCTGCCTAAACTTAATCATGGTTCGTGTTCAGAATCGACTGAAATTAGTCGAATATACTTGCGAATACATGCTTGCAGAACTGTATAATCAATCAATTAAAGTTTGCTGCCATGGTGGTTATCAAGATGGAAGTATATCCATGCTTCATCGATTGTTTCTGCAAAACAAGATTCATCGAAAATTGAATGTCTGTGCATGTGATTTCCAAGGACACGAGCTCGACCTTCGGCAATGTCTTGAAGCAAATGTAATGATGACAGGACTGACTGTAGACTATTGCAACAATATTGACATGGTAAATATTTTGTTTAGTTTTAGAACCGTTAGATTGCATAAGCTAAAGCTCAACTATTCAATACGTGTACCTTCGACTGCGTTTCACTTTTGTGAGATGCTGAAGAAAAATGACACGCTTGCTGAGCTCAGTCTTATGGATGAAACTGGTTTCGAAGACGAAGCTTTTATTGTTGGTCTTCTCACAACATTGAAAGAGCACAAATCCATCAAACGTCTCAGTCTGCACGTACGCGATGTACAGCCATCAAATCGGAAAGAAAATTCTCTTATAGATGCATTGAAAAAAGATCAATTCATTGCGCATCTTGCTATATCTGAATCGGATATTTCGAGTGAGCTTATCGAAGCATTGTTTTACGCTTCAAAAGAATGCCAGACACTGATGCAGCTAGATTTGTATCACAACCATGTGAATGTTCATGATATATCACAGCTGAAGTCATTACAGGAAGATGGTTTGATTCAACTGACCTTCTCCGAACTACCATCTTGGCAGGCGGTGTTAGAAAAAGTAAATGGACAACTTGATCAGAGTAAGCATGAAAACAGATCAAGTCTTATTGTAAATACGGTTGACTAGGTTTACTTATACTTGATATTGTTGTCGTGACTAAAGAAATCGACATGAGACAGTAGGAATGCAAGAGAGGGCGAAAAATAGTAGGTTCTTAGATTTATATAAATTGGTTCACATTAGTATTCTAATGTATTTTCAGATTGTTGATCAATATGACTCACGGAACACTTATAACCTTAGCATTTATGCTCAGATAAAAAGGCTTGCTCCAGTAGTTATGAAGTAGAAGTTGTTCGCATCCATATCGTTCATAGAGAATCAATTAATTCTCAACATTTCGGATATCGAAAGACGGCGATGGCTATTAAGCATACACTAAAAACTGGAAGTATAATGTTACAGGAACTCATGTTCCTCTTGTTCAAAGTTTCACGTTCAAGCATAAATCAAGACTTTATTTAGAAACTGATTCATAAGTTAAATAAATGAAATTTATTCATTCCTAAAGAAAATTGGTATAATGGACGAACTATTGATGTGTTAGATTTTTATGAGTAACACAATCAGATATGAAAAGTTTTTTTTTTCATGCAAGAAAGATATGCCCGCAGCTCTTAAGAAATCCAACAATAACGATGTAACATTTTGGAGAATCGGACCTGTCAGACATCACGAGCCTATAGTTTCAGATGAAGATGCATAAATTCATGAGTAATTCAGATTCTTGAACTATACAGACCAGTTGATTTCTGCATTGAGTAAGGCTCTTACTTCTTATTGGGATCTTTGTATGCGCATGAGTTTTTTTAATGTAAACTCTCATTCAAATATCACATTGATACAGCTACTATGTATTTTACATTACTAAAGTCTGCTAACATAATTGTATAAATTCGAGCATTTAAATTATTTATGATCTGAATCTTGACTTTCATAGGAATAAAATGATCAGGCAGAGCAGCGAGCGTCTAGATCTTCTAGAATCTGATAAAGTTTCTGTTATGATTTGACTTTTAATAATCTCGATTTCTTTCAAAGATTTCATGTCATTTCAAGCAAGAATCCTATCAACAATATATTAGATGTCTATGGGAAAATATTTAGAGGTTTTCTGAGTTGAAACCACCTTTGGGTCGATGATTTCTTGTCGTCTATTGTTTTCCATTGTTGAAATAATGAAGATATCTGAGAACAGACCACTTACTACTATCGACAAGAGAAATCAATAGATGAAAAACATTTGATCAAATCGTTTGCCTTGCTCATCTCCTTTTAAACATGTGGAATTCAATGTTTTTTTAATTTCTAGTGAAAGGTGTCAGGCTTTGAAAAACTTTCAAATGATTAGAGGATTCACTGTGTAGAAAACAATACTCTCATTTTTATCATTATTGACCACAAACTATGCGAATTCTAACATTAGCACTTTGTATCGTTGTAGCTCCATCTAACATCACTTCAAATGCCAAATGGACACAGAAAGGTGTCACCATTGCAGGAGGGTGTGGCAAAGGCACTGCACTAAATCAAGTTTCAAGTGCTCGAGGCATCTATGTGTGTGATGATCAAACAATTTTGATTGCTGACCAAGATAATCACCGTATAGTGGAATGGAATCGAGGTGAGGTCAGCGGACAAGTAGTGGCAGGTGGAAATGGAAATGGAAATGGAATTAATCAATTGAATAGGCCAACAAATGTGATTGTTGACAAAGAAACAGACAGTCTCATTATCTGTGATCGAGGGAATAAACGAGTGGTACGGTGGTCTCGTCGAAGCGGCACAACAAGTGGAGAAACGATGATCGACAACATCGATTGTTTCGCACTGGCTATGGATGATCAAAGATTTCTATACATCTCAGATGGTGGAAAACACGAAGTCAGACGATATCGATTGGGAGAAAAAAATGGAACTGTAGTGGCAGGTGGTAACGGGAAGGGTGATCATCTCAATCAACTCAATAGCCCTGGCTACGTCTTTGTGGATCGCAATTATTCGGTCTATGTATCGGACTGGCTCAATCATCGTGTGATGAAGTGGGTCAAAGGTGCCAAAGATGGAATTGTTGCGGCAGGTGCTCGAAGTCCAGGCACTTCTCTGACACACTTGTACGGTCCACAAGGAGTCTTCGTCGATTCTTCAGGCACAGTTCTTGTGGGAGACGCAGGAAATAATAGAGTGATGAGATGGAAAAGCGGTTCCTCACAGGGACATGTGATTATTGGCGGAAATGGTAGAGGACAACAAGAAAATCAATTGAATCATCCTGAAGGTTTGTCATTCGATCGACACGGAAATTTATATATCGTCGACAATGGCAATCATCGAGTTCAGCAATTCGAAATCGAGAACAGTTGATTATTTTTTATGTTGTCTAATGGAATGATAATAAAGAAGATTTCCCTGAGTGTCATCTATGATCTCTCGATAACTAATGATGGTCAGGGGCATGATAACGAACAAAAATTGTTTAGTCGGTTCTAATTGCATGTTGTTTTTTAGACTTTTTTCATTTAGTTTAAAGACTGAAGTGAAGTATCAACGGAAGAATCTCAGAATTACTCTTCAGTTTGGTTAATGCCACTAGATACTTCTTTTTATTATTGACTGATTTTGGTTTCCTACTGCTTTCTTGATAACTTAAATCGTGTCTTCTGAGGATATGACTGACGGAAAGTGAATTTGAGGAGTAGTTAGGGGTGGCAGAGTTCCCGTTCATTTGGATTCCGTTCCTAAGGAACGGGAACTCAGCCGAAAAGAGTGTGGGTGTGGGTGTTGATACATTTACATTGGTCACGCTCACTAACACTCACACCCACACCTGACTCACAACCATCATGAACGTGGTGACTGATGTTCGGCCACGACTAGCGACGTACTCCAGTCATAAATTAATGAATTGCGGATGTTTTCTCCAGTCTTTTTTCGTTTACAAAAAAAGTAAGTTTTTAGACGGTTTAAATAACTAGCTATCCAATTTGAAATCATTTTTTACATTTCTTTTATCTTTGTCACATACTTAGCTATATCTATTTATCTTCTAATCGTCATTTATGCAATACTCTTGTATCTAATTTTATGATCGTCGTGACATGTTAAATTTAGTGAATTGCATCGCATGTTTATTGGTTTTGAATAAACGATGAATAGTAAAATTTCTATTATAAGTGAAACGTTTTCCAAACGTTGGTTGAGTAGAGTTGTCATTCACTTCACCTTTGAAATGAGGTGATCTGCTTGTAAAAATCTATATTATGTTATCGATTATGCCGGATTAACATTTATTGCTAATACTTTTTAAATAAAGTATATCGTTTTTTGATTCAAAAAAATTCTTTTTTAATAAACTCATACTAATAATCTGCATTGTATTTGAACTTAAAATATCCTTTATGAGACAAAAATAGACAAAGCAAGATAAAATATTCTGTGTGTTGATTTTGCCATATGAAATTATATGTCATGTCAGTACTTGAAAATAAGAAGCAAGCAAATGGAATTGTTTTGTTTTTTTTTAAGCGATAGTAGTTATTGTGTCTGACTTAAAGGCAGATGAAAGAAGAAAATATCAATATAAATTTAAAAAGAAATAAGACTACTTAAAAACACGAAAAGTAAAATCACGTGAATAATTGAGGCAAGCGGATCCAGTTATTTCAGAAGGCAAAACAAAGAAATTGATTGATATTAGAATTACATTATCATTTTAGTTTTGTGTAATCATGTTAGAGATGAAAAAGAAAAGTATTTGCTGTTAGCACCTTATCTTTCTATATCAGCCACTGTCAAAGATTATTGCAGAGATAAAACAAAAAATTGCTACTAAACTATCTTTTCATATTATTATAATATACTGAGTTTGATTTGAGGAATCGATTCTAATAAGTGAGTGTATGATTTTTTTTTTTCATTCTTTATTTAGGCATTTGATGACTTAAGAACAAATGCTTTCAGAACTGTTCGATATGTTGAATTTTATCTTCGAAGTTGTCATAATGGTTTTAATGAAGTAATTTGTATCGACAAACAGTTTGTGCCTTTTCTTAGCACATATATACTTCATTTACAAACATTACATCTTTGACGACGAGATCATTTTCCTTGAACATCTAGTAAGTTTATTATAAATAAATATAACTAATTACAATAAAACCTCGTATTGTTCTATGATAAATATCATTCTATTTTTCGTTTCCTTAATTTTGAATTTTATTTTGTTCTTGCTTAATCTGTACTTATTTCTTTAATAATATTGGTAATTTTTATGTATTTTTATAGAAGTAAGAAGAATAGAAGATTAAGTAAAGTTTTATTTCAAAATATCAATTAAATTTATAATGTTTTCAAAAATCTTCTGATCGAAAACGAAGTAGTTAGATATTAGGAGAAAATGAGAAGATGAAAGTCTGATTCACAGCATATTTATTTATCTATGGAGTTGAGCAAACAACAAAATGACTCTGATTTTCTTAGTCTATAAAAATCCCTAGAGAATTCAGATAGATAGTCAAAATCTTCGGGAATTCCTAAAAAACTTCAGAAAAAAGCTGAGAAATCCTTACGAAATTCCTTGGAGGACTTAATTAAAAAGTTACTAAGGACTTTCAAGAGATTTCTAACTTATTGCTTCATTTTTGAGAAATCTTCGAGCATTTTATCAATCTGTCGGGGCTCGCTGCAGATTCTTATATGTTGAACTTATCACGAAAGTCACGAATAAACAACTTTTCTTTTATATATTCACTTGGAACACTTGATTTTTTTTAAAACTCTGTATAGGAAAACTCATATCTAATTCGACCTTTTACTAAAAAATAACTCAGAGATAAAAGTTGTTTGCTTAATAACAACCAATTTAAAAAGAAAGATCTATTTTAAACTATCTTTTCTGCTCAATAAAGAAAAAGAAATCGATTTTTTATTTGAACGCTCGTATACTTTACGACTTCATATTATTTCATGGCTTTTTTTCTTATATAAGTTCGATCAGATTATAGAAAAGGATCCGATGTGGTTCACATTTCACAATGACTGAAGTCTCTAAGAAAATCCGAATCGATTGGTATATACGTACAAATACAACGATTTTATAAGAGACGATGAATTAATAATAACTTATAATTCTTTTTTTCCTAAGCTCAACATGTGACCATCTTTGAACAAGATGATCATCAACTGACCAAAGAATTAAGAGAATTTACTTTTCTCGATATTCACGGCAAATTTGATTACAAAACAGTTAAACCTTATCGTTTAATGGTTCAAACTCACTTTTGTCATAGTCGAAGTGATGTTGAAATATCAAGGTTTCGTCTTTGACATTACTTTTCTCTTCTTTTTTTAATGCAACATATGTGATTTTTGTGTAATGTTCAATGCCATCATCTAGGCAGACAGATAAAGAGAGTAACGGTGTTTCTATACGTAAAAACTATACATTATATGATGTATTAATATACAGTAGACATAAAAAATCTCGCATTACCTTTTAGTGTTAAGTTGTATATTAAAATTACACATCAATTTTATTTGACGATAAGCTTGTATAGAAGAGATCATGTACTGTATGTATACCTGTTTAATATAAGAAACTGTCGAATATAAAATACAATGATAAAAAATAAAATTTTAGTATGAACAAAAAAAAAGTTTTGAAAAAAGACGATATAATATTACTATTATAAGTTTATGAGGAGTGATGATTAGTTAATTTTAAAAAGTACTTCAGCATTATTATTTAACCAAATATGAAAAGGAATGGATACTTTATTTAATGATGATCAAAAGAAAAAGACAATCGTTTGAACAACTAAAACAACTTCTTCAAAAGCGTAATAAATTAAGCATATTCAGATAATAATCAATTATTTGTAACAACATCATTACATAATGCAAATGATGCTGGTATATTTAATTGAGACGTCTTAGATGTGTACAAAAATGAGTTATCTAAATTTTCAGATCTATCATAAGCAAATTCACATATTATACCGGTTGTCATGATTGCTTATTTTTAACATTATGTGTAACCTACGCTTCTGATATTCTTTAATTCGATGTTTATCATTAGTGAACGTATGTATTCAGATATATTATCGGTTTCAGAGGCACACAATACTTTCGATTCTTTATTTAAAGATAATATAATTCTTCAACTATTTATTCCAATTGATATTGATATGAAATCTCATGGTTTTGTTTTTCATTTTAAGTAATAAAAAATTCTGGAATGAGCTATATTTGAATGAGTTCTTTTGTTCTAGTACTATTTGTGTCGGAATTCTGAAAATTATCTTTTGTATTAATGGATGAGTATGTAAAGCATAGCAGATGCAAGTCTTGCAAGTTGTCGGAATCCATGTCATCAAAATCGCGTCACTTTTGGCGATTAACCGAGATTTGAGCAAAAAAATTGACAAGAAATCATGATTAATCACTGATTTCTTGACGAGAAAAAGTAAGTATTTTCTTACTTAAAAAAATGACTTTATTTTATTTAGACAATATTCTTGAATCAACGAATAGTAAGAGTTACTGTAATTAAAATGCTTTGTTCTCTTACTTTAGTGCATTTGATCGTAAGGATGTGGATGTGCGTGTGATCGTGGGTCCAGTTGTGAATAGGAGTACGATGATCACACATCTACGCCCACATCCCGCATTTAGTATTCTACTAAATATCGTTCTTATCATAATGTATTCATATGAAAATGTCCTCATTTGCAGCAAAATAAAAACGAATTTTTCGCCATATGCCACAGTGATGGGATCGGTTCGTGTTTTTTTGAAACCGAAAAAATCTCAAACCGATCGAATTTTTCAAAACTTTGAACCGAACCGAACCGAAAACCTTTATTGAAGACATGCTTAAAACGTCATTAATAATTTTAAAAACGAACTAGAAATTTGTAGTAGAAATAATGTTAAGAATATGGGTATTTTCGTTTTCAGAATAAAAGAAATTTCGGATGATAGAAGACTAGTATATTTTCAGTAGTTAGTCAATTTATTCTGCTAATCAAAAGCCCTTCAAGGTATT